AACTCTCTTCCACCAATCGCCGGTGCAGTAGAGAATTATCGTCCTTTCATACCCTCCAAGTGTAGGCAGAAAAACTTCGTCCTTTCTCACCCTCCAAGTGTAGGCAGGGAACCTTTATCCTTTCACACCCTCTAAGTATAGGCAGAGAACCTTTATCCTTTCATACTCTCCAAGTGTAGGTAGAGTATCTTCGGCTATTCACATTCTCCAAGTGTCGGCAGAAAACCGTCGGCTAGTCACACTCTCCAAGTATCGACAGAGAACCAGATCTTCTCCAGAGTTCTTCTCACGAGCAATCTAGAAAGATAAGAGAAAGAGTGAAAAACATAAATCACACTGAGATCTTTACTTTTGAGTAATCTTGTGAACCCTTCACACTCCACTAGCAAGAAATCTCTCTCAAACACTCACTCCTTCAATTACCCTTGAAAAGTCATGAAAACAAGACTTTTTTCACGTCAATTTTTAGTGGACCTTTTATATAAAAGACATGAAAAACCGTCTATAAAAATGAAGATTTTAATTTTGAGTGTACACGATCGTACAATACGATCGTGTTTCATACATATGAATAATTTAAATACTATTACATATGAACATGTTATGAATCGATATGAAATCATTTCGTACCCGATCATCATCCGGCACGAACTAAGTTCGTTCAGGATGAACAGTTAAAAAATTTCAAAATTCGTCTATACAAAGCATCGGGACAAAATGGGACCTCACATTTTTATACTATAGAAGGCATGTACGAACTGGGTTCGTACAGGACGATTCATACTTAGAAAAATTATTTTTATGCGACCTGGAACCTGAGAAGATCGTACTCATGAAAGCATGTACGAACTGGGTTCATATAGATCGATTCATACTTAGAAAATTTATTTTTATGCGACCTGGAACCCAAGAAGATCTTACTCGTGAAAGCATGTATGAACTGGGTTCATACAGTATGATCCATATTTAGAAAATTTATTTGTACGCGATCTGGAACCCGAGACATTCGTACTAGTGAAAGCATGTATGAACTGGGATCGTCCCATATGATCCATAGTTAGAAAAAAAAATTTAGCGAGGACAGACCTGAGACGTTCGTACTTGTGAAAGCATGTACGACCTGGGATCGTCTTGTATGATCCATACTTAAAAAAATTCATTTATTTTCGTTTGACTGGTCATTGGGAAAATAACTGACTAGATCTCCCCATATGAAGTAATGTCGTACAGTACGATCAGTTTAAAAAAAATATGAATTTTAAACTCTCCCTGGTGTGTGTGTGTTCATTTACTCAATTATAATCATACTCTCTCAGACTCAATAAAATGAAAAATATAAACTTCAATTATAATAAATTCTAAACTAATCTTGATTTGAAGTCTTCAACAATCTGTATTATGATTTTCCTGAAATATTAGTACACACAAGAGCAAAAATTATTCTTCCAAAATATGTTAGGAGAAATAATAATCAAATTAATAATATTTGGAATCATAAAAAACATATAAGTTGCAAGAATATCGAACATGCAAAACTAAGTAGAAACTATCTCAACAAAGTGGGGTTTTTAGAGGATAAGATAAAAAGGGTTGTTGCTTGGCGTTGAGGAGGAGAGGAGTTGGGTTGGTAAATAAGAGGTTGCCCAATGATATTAGTAGAGGGTGGTTGAGCAGCAGGGGACAAGGTTAAAAAGTTTTTGGGTGGGGAATGAATTGAAGCAGCAACATGGGCTTCCATAAGAGTGTCACCTGGGGAAGGGTAAATGGGAGGCTTATAAGTCCTATCAGGATTTGAAAAGGGATTACACTTTTTGAAGTTTCTACTATGATTTCTTTCTCTCGGGGGGAATGTCTTAGGAGGGACATTGACTTGTTCGGCTATTTGAGGCTTTGAAGGGTATAATGAAAAATAATGCACAATAGACTTACAATGTTCGCACGGAGAAGGCCTCCATTCATACTGAACCTTCAATCTGACAACATCACCATCCAGAGAAACGAAAATCTCATCTGGGTACTTTGCGTTGCTATCCACCAACACACATACTCGAGCATAGGTGAGTCGGGTCTTTTTTGTTGTGAGGGAGTCATCTGCCAATGGAAAGCCAACCTTACTTGCTATTTTGAAGATACCCTCTGAGTTCCAACATGCAAGGGGGATATCGTGGATTTTAATCTTGATGGGGATAGTGGTGAAATTTTCCCTTTTTGGTTTGAATTTCGGGCAACATTTTTGCAGTATAAACAATTTGCCTAGGAGAAACCAAACTCCTCTTGACCATACCAGATCCTCATAGAAAGCAAACTAAAAATGGAAGAATCCATCGCTAAGGGATAACATCTATAACTCACCTTTGAGATTCCAGGTTTTTTTTAATGGCGCCAAACAAAGCTTCATAAAATGAAATAACCCACCAAGCAGTGAGTCCAATCTTCATCTCCAAGAGATAGTTTTTCACTGGAGAAAGGAACAATTTCATGTTCCAAAGGGAAGTGTGAAAGATTGAGGTAAGAGGATGCCACTTCATCTTGTGCGAAAATAGACTTCCAGTTGCAAACTGGAGGGGGGAACACACCACCAGCAGACATCAAAGGGGGGAAGTTGGATAGAGGATGAGAATCCATGGAGAGGAAGAGGACCTCTGACAAGGCCGGAGGGGGTGAGGAGGAGGCGGCAGTGAGCAGCTAGAGAGGAAACCCTAGCTTCATGGCTTCTTTGGATTCGAAAGACAAAAATTTTAAATTTCTTATAATTTATCATGTAAGACTCGTGTATCTTTGAATTTTCCCTTAAATTATACATAATCTTGATGATATATTGATGAAGATAATTATATTACTACTTGATCATGATCAAATCATATAAAATCATTTAAATTTTTTCTTATGATATCTTATTATAACTTGCATTTTTGTTTCATAGCATTGAGCCAATATTACACTTCATTTTTGTTTCATAAATTTGAATTTTGCATGCTCTTTCATTTGGAGATTTTACACTTCAGACTCTCTAATATCTGACTAGTTTAGATATATTATGGACTCTCCTTGGAAACAGCCTCCCCAGAACTCCTCTAAATATTGGAAATTAATTTGTTCCACTACTGTTAGGATAAAGAATAAAATTTCTCTCCATGTGACTGGTAAAGATTGCAAGCTGTCTATGTATTAAGACCCTTGGTGTTCTAGGGAGTCTGTTTCTAATTTTGTATATCTCTCTTCCTCTCCTCACTGTGATGTGAAGGATTTTATTATTGGGAATTCGTGGGTTCTACCGCATCACTTAACACAGTTGGCTTCTCAACGCATCACCTCTACTCCTATTTTAAATGAGCATTCCTCTGTCATTACGTGGGATGGATCAGATAATCCTTCATTCAAGGATTTTTATATGCATTTTTACAGGGAGCACTCTAAGGTGGCGTGGCATAAATTTTTATGGCACAAACGTTTTGCTCTTAGATACTCTTCTTATGTTTGGATGGCTTAGCGGGATAGCTTAAAAACGGCTGACATTTTAGCTAGAAGGAACATTTTGGTTGATCTTAATTGTTCTCTTTGCAATAAGGAGCCGGAGAGTATAAATCATATTTGCTTTCAATGTGATTATTCGTTTCTAGTGATTTCCTCTCTTCTTCCGATTTTGCGAGGGTTTTTATTCAGGCTTACTTTACTTCAAAATTTTGAGTTTTTTTACAATCAGCAGCAGCTTCTTTCTTCTGAAAAGATTTTTTGTTATTTTGTAATTTGTTGTGTTGTGTCTCACATTTGGAGGGAAAGAAACAACATATGTTTTTCGAGCTTGGAATGCTCTTTGCATTTTATAATTCATAAGATTATATCTGCTATTGGGTCTAAAGTTGCAACCTGGAAAAATTTGGATATTTTGCGGGCTTCCTTTCCAACATGTTTTCGTATGTGATTCTGGACATTGGAGATTGTTGAATTCCCTATTCTCGACAGTGCATGCTGGGAATTCTTTTTTCTTCGCAGACGATGATGATTGGTTCCAACACTTGATATCACTGCCCCTTGGACGGTCTCAAAGCAGCTTCCTACCAGTTTTGCAAATGCTGATCATCGGATACTACTGGGTTCAAGTAGGGGTGTCAATTCGGGTCAACCCGCCGGGTTCGGGTCGAACCCGACCCGTTTTTACAAACGGGTCGGACATTTCAACCCGGACCCGACCCGGCCGGGTTGCCGGGTTGACCCGACCCGACCCGCGACCCGGCAGCGTTCTTCCAATTTTTTTTTTTTCAAATTTGGCAAATGTGTGGCTGATGCTGCCTTTTCTTTCAAGATGATTTCCTGGATGTGTTGGTCCCTACAAGCCTGAGTCCATCTTTTGTCCATTGTATTTTGGTTTTTGGGTTATGTTATTTCCTTCTTTTGGGTCCTCTTTACTTGTAATTTTTTAGTATAAGCCTATTTTTTGGTTTATTTTGTAACCCATTCTTTCATTAATACAAGGGCTTTTGCCCCTAATTTTCCCAAAAAAAAAAACATTTGAGCCAATATTGCCTTTTTTAACAAAAGTTTTATTGGTGGCTTGTCCTTGAAGTTAAAACCTTGCTTTCAATAATGTGTGAACACTAGGGAATGGAAAAAAGCACAAGCTCTAACAACTCCACTGCAAGAGAAAAAAAATGCTTTTTATCCTTCATAAATATTGAGTATTTACAGTCCGACTTTTGTTTGCGATGTGTGATATTAATCATCTTTTTAGAAGGCAGCATTACAGTGTAAATTATATATTTAACACTTCCAATGAATATTTTTAAAATAAATGCAAATATCTTTAGTTATATTATAATTAAAATTTATTTTACAAATAGTTTATTTTGTAAGAAAATAGATACATATGTATTATTTCTAAACTAAAAATAAATTAATCAATCATATAATTTAGATGATAAATTGTTATACAAAAAAAAAAACTTCTGGTCACATTTGAGTTTGAACCCAACATCATTGTTTTTAAGATGAAATAAACAAACTTTAGGAACAAACAGTTTTTTATTAAGGGATATCAGCACCTTTCTTATTGAAAAACAAGGACAGAGCTCTTACGAAATTCCAACCATTATAAACATAAAGTCTGAACAACAGACCGAAAACATACCAGAAAACATCTGCATTAGCTTAACAGGCCGAAGGTGCAGAAAGCAGAAACAAACAGATGAACACGCAGACAGAACGCAACTGCATACAAATACTGCTATAACGACTGGATTATTTCCTTCTAAAAGACTGCTGGCCGAAGCAAACACAGTAGAGAGCCACATCTTTCACAGCAGAACCAAACAGCTTTCTGGGAAAGTAGACACAGTGGCTGTGGAATGGAAGGATTCTTCTTCATCCACCTTTGAATCCATCTCATCCTTCTCAGCCTCCACAGTACCAATGGCCTCCAATATATAGGATTTCACCTCTTCGAACCTCTCCTCAGAAAGGGAAACCTCAGCCAAGAACCTCCAAGCATATTCCTCAGATGCCTCATCATAATCTTTCCTCCGCTTAAGCACCATGTGGCCACTAATCTCCCACACTGCAGGGTTCACTTGTGTTTCTAGGAGCTCTTGGCTCACTTCCCCAAGCGCCTGTTTCTCAGCATAGCACTGCACAAAGTCATCCAAGAAAGTGACCGTTTCAGAACCTTAATGTCTGGTGGATTTTCAATATTTTAATTAGAAATGATAGTGATCAACCAAAGCAATTCCAGTATCAAAATATAGCTGAAGAGGAAAAGACATTAACACCAGATAATCCCACTTAGAGTTAATCATTCTTAACGAACCATATTAGATACTAGGAATGTCAGCCAAGCATCAAGATTAAGAAGAGATTAAGATTTCGTTTGGGGCAGCTTTCTTATTATTTCTTAAAGCAATTTTTTAGTATAAGACTTTCATGTCAATCTCAATCTTAAAACTTTCAAATCAGGTACATAAGAATCTCAATATGAAATTCATGTGTTGTTGCAGAAGATTATAATCCAGTGGCCGAAGTAACTTTTTAACAACTACAAAGAAATAAGTCATTAAGACTACATTCCCTTATGTTATATATTCTATACCGCAAAACTCACCCAACATAAGAAGTAGGAAGGCCAAATAGTAGGGCTAGAATCAAATAGAGAAGGCATCCTCACAAAAAAATAGGTAGTTCTTACAACCATAGCATCAGTAAAACATTAAACCCCATAGCAATTTAACACTAGATTTTTTTGGCAAGAAGTAAAAATACTATGCCACAAACAGAATGCTAGACACACATAACGGTCAAACAATAACAAAATTGAAAAGAAAAACAAAAATGTAATCTACTGAACTAAGCACAACAATAACATAATGTGTGCATAAAAACTAAAACACAATTAGCAACTAGAGAGTTCACAGCTGAACTTTTTGGGTTCTTACCATTTTGAGAGATGACTTGAGTATAATAAGATGCGATTTGAAGTAAAATCTAAATATTATAAAGTAAACAAAAGAGAAATTTACCTGTGGAAATAAAAATATTCTCCCCCCACAGTCAGAAATAAGCACATTAAATGGGATGCTATTTTCTTGAAGGCAAATGCAGGATTGAGCAACAACATCAGCCAAGTGTTTTAGGCAATTTCCGCCTTCATAAACTAGGCCCCTCACTGGGTAGTTCAACAGTTTTGAGATCTTTACACCGAGACTCTTTGCCAGACCTTGAACAATGTGAATCTTCTTAGTTGGAGCTTTCTCCACAGGAAAAGGCATAGCTAAGTAATAGGCCTGTCACACAAACAAATATCATATATTTTCCTTGTTTTTGAGAAAGAATGATGTTTATTTTCTCTTATAAATGACTAACTTCTTTCCTCTCTGAAATGGTCAATATCAGATTAAAAACTATTTTTTTTTTTTACCTGGAAGTGTAAGTGATTTATGGTGGCAAAGGCACCCAAACTGTTATAACCCAGCCTGAAGTAAGGACTTCCTGCTTCTACTGCCATGTGAAGTGCAAGCAGTAAGCTTTCTGGATCAATCCTTTGAGGCAAACACTCAAGCACATGGGGGATTAGTAGAACATGGCCGTACTCAATGGGGCTCACCTGAAACGATGAATAATATAAGCAGTACAATCAAACAAATGATTCCACAATATTAAAAGAGAAAAAAATGAAAACCATAAAAATAAATATTACATTAATAGCAACAACATTAGGTGGAACTCCCTTATCAACAGAGGCAATCTCAAAGAAGCAAGATGCATCATCTTCACCAGCTTCAAATCGGAACAAGACCTCTTCCTGTCCAACCTTAGTAAAATTAAACTTGGCTGAATCAAAAGGTTGCAGGACCCGATCAACCCTGAACTCGGTCGGTCTCTTCTTGAGGTGGCGCCCTTCATTCAGTTGCGCTATGAAACCATGCTCTCCTGGAATCACCTTCGTTTCGCAAGCAGTCACATCATACCTGAATAACCCTCGGCTCATGCGATCCTCCCACTACAACGTACAAATTCCCAAACCCATTTCAATAAACAATTACCATACAAAAAGATTGAAACTTTATGGTTTTAGCAACGAGAATTACCTGTCCAAATAAGAGAGTGTTCAGTAAAAAATCAGAGGGCAAATCTCCCTGAGAAGGAGAAACCACAGCCGGCAAACTCTCGACCTTGAAGGCATAAAGAGGGAGCTTGGAGACTGCAAACAAACCCCAAAAGCCCAAATCGTCAAACAAATGACCCTAGAATCCCAAAATTCCATGCAAAGAATGAAATTTACTGATAGGGAGAAGCTAATTACCGGGAAGGCAGCAATCACCAAGGCAGTTGCGTCCGCATCCAGCAGCGTCTTCCTGGTAATTAGAAAGGACGGTCGGAACCCTTTTGATGGTTAGCATCTCTAAGCTTTAGACGAAGAAAAGAACTGAAGAGGGAAAAAGAGAGATAGAGAAGGTTTAATAAGAGAGCGTTAGCGAGGAGAGATGGCCGCCGCCAGCAAGGAAGAGGAGGTCGGATGGACTGCCGCCTGCGGAAGGAAGGGCACCGCGGCCTCCGTGAGTAGAGGGGCAGCGGTGCTTGTCAAGGGCGTGGAGCCCCACGCCCCGCTTCTTCTCCGGGAGGTTCTCCACTTGCGGTTGAGGAATATGGAAACGGTTGAAGTGCCGACCGCCGACTCGAAGAACAGCCGTGATTAGCACAACATAAAGAAACCCTAATAAGAGCGATCGCCACTCCAAGTTCACGACTGCGATCTCTCCTCTCTCTCTGCCGATTTATGTTAGAGGCAGATATGGAGGCCTGTGATTAGAGCAGCGAGGAAGAAGATATATAGGGAAACCAAGGAACCGAAGGGAGGACGTACGAAGGGTAGATCTGGAAGATTTCTGCTCTCTGGCGTTAAAATTTCTATTAACTTGTATTTGATGAAATGTCCATAATACCCTTTAAAATGATGTTTTCCATTGTTTAAATTTTAGGTTTTTAACTATATAACAATTTAAAGGAATTCTTCTTAGGCTAATACTACCATTTTGTGACGCAAGAAAAAATATATTAGTATTTCCATACAAAAATTTCAAAAAAAAATATTTATGCAATAATAATAGGTCAATTTTAAAAAGGAGAGGAACATTTAAATATGCGGATTTTATTATAAAGAGCGTGAACGAGTGCAAATTTAGATTGGAGCCAACTCGTTGATATTTTTGGTGCATTCATAATGCAGCGTATTGTTTGGCGCATTCTGAATGTGTCAAAATGATTAGCCCATTCAATACATGTCCATCTTTTCGCACAAGAGATCGGCTAGTAATTTGGACAAAGATTGGTGAATCGAGTTGGCTGGTGGGCTACATATGAGAAAATAAAATTCATTAGTATATTAATAGTATTGTTAAATTTAGAAATAGATTGATATAATACTTCTAAAATCAAAGTATGTTTATTAATAGTATTATATAATTATGTAATAATTAATTTATTTTTCCTTAATATTTAATTTAATTAATAGTATTCTATGATTATATAATAACTAATTTGTGATTATATAATTATTATATTCATAATTACTAATTATAATAAAAATTATATAATTAGTAATTATAACTTATATAATAAAATAATAAATTTAATTTTATATAATAATTAATTAATTTTAACTTAATTATATAATTCTACCTAATTAATATTGAGTTAATATTAAAATTTAATTAATTTAAAAGGTTTGGCGAATTCAAGCAAGTACTAAACATGTTAGAGCATTTGCTCCATCGTAATTTTTTTAGTTGATACGCCTATCGCTAATTTGAGATAATTATGTATTTTTCCTTACTATTTTTACTTTTTTGTTGTATTTCATGATTTTTATTGCCCGTAGAAACTATTTTCTAAATATATTTTTTAAAATTACTTTTCTTACGACAGCTTTAAAAGTGGTTACAAAAAAGCTCAAAACCAAGTCTTAATTTAATAAGCATAAATAAAAATGATTTTGTGTTTTAAAAGAAAATGAATTTTATTTTACATTTTTAGAAAACATATTATTATTTTACATTTTCATTAAAAACAACAAAATTAATTTGTGTTTTTTTTTTCATAAAAAATGCAAAATTAATTTGAGTTTTAATAGAAAGTGCAAAATTTGAATTGTGTTCTACTGAAAATTCAAATTTTAAAATAATAATTTTTTGTTATATCAATTTTTAATAAATTTCAAAGAGCTTCTTAAAATTATATTGTAATTATGATTTTTTAATATTTATTTATTATGTACATTCTCCTTTTTTTCAATATTTTATAAATATTTGTTTT